GATTACAGGTACCTGCCACGTACCTTACTAGCTTTTATGTTTAGTTTTTTTTAGAGGCAGGGTTTTGTCATGTTGACCTGCCTGTTCTCAGACTCCTGGGCTGAAGCAACCCTCCTGCTTCTGCCTCCCAAATTGTTGGGATGATTGCACCTGGCCTACTTCCCCAATTTTTATTTATTTATTTATTTTTGAGACAGAGTCTCACTATGTCGCCCAGGCTGGAGTACAGTGGTGCAATCTTGGCTCACTGCAACCTCTACCTCCCGGGTTCAAGCAATTCTCTGCTTCGGCATACCAAGTAGCTGGGATTACAGGTGCCCACCACCACGCCTGGCTAATTTTTGTATTTTTAGTAGAGACCGGGTTTCACTATCTTGCCCAGGCTGGTCTTGAACTCCTGACTTTGAGATACACCCACCTCGGCTTCCCAAAGTGCTGGGGTTACAGGCGTGAGTCACCAGGCCCGGACTCCCAGCTTCTCCAATTCTTAACACAGTGCATAGCACATAGGTGTCAAATACTTTGATTTCTCTTAAAGAAACGTGAATAGAATTAGATTGTTTTTATATCACACTGATTGCAATTTGGGCAAATATTTACACACGATACTTATTTCCGTTACGAGGTGTGTGTTTCTCCTTTAGCTGGGCGAATGGGCAGCAAATGCTCCACATCGGGGTTCTCTTTGAAACTGATCCCTTACACTTTCAGTCCAGTAGAGGGCGATCGCAACAATGACCAGAGAGAGAACAGCAATTCAAGGCGAATGAAGGGCTTCCCAGTACCCAGTGCTTTCCCGGGATTCCTCCAGGAACGCTGAATCATGGAGACTGAGGATCGAATTCAGTATGGCAGCCACTTTTTGGGGTGGTAGTTTAGCATTTTGAACAGATAATGCATTCACATGGTGGAGAACTAAACTAAACTAACAAGGTACATAGGGAAACTCCCCACCCCAATCCCTGATCCTTTTTGCCTATCTGCCTCACCTCTACCACGGGTACTGTTACTTTTCTCTGTGTGCCCCACCAGAAGTTTTAATGCCAATATAAACAAATACAATATCTCTGAACACCCCACTCTATTTTACCCAAAAGGTAGTATTGTTCTGTACTCAGTAGCTAGCTTTGCTTTTTCTTTTTATTTATTTATTTATTTATTTTGAGACGGAGTTTCGCTCTTGTTACCCAGGCTAGAGTGCAATGGCGCGATCTCGGCTCACTGCAACCTCTGCCTCCTGGGTTCAGGCAATTCTCCTGCCTCAGCCTCCTGAGTAGCTGGGACTACAGGCACACGCCACCATGCCCAGCTAATTTTTTGTATTTTTAGTAGAGACGGGGTTTCACCATGTTGACCAGGATGGTCTCGATCTCTTGACCTTGTGATCCACCCGCCTCGGCCTCCCAAAGTGCTGGGATTACAGGCTTGAGCCACCGCGCCCGGCAGCTTTGCTTTTTCAAGCTCTGTCTTGTAGAATGTTCCAGATCAGCATCTAGAAAGGGCCCTTATCCTTTCTTTTACACCTTCAGAGTCCTGCATGGCTCACCAGTGTTATTACCTATTTGTCTAGCTCCCCGTTGATGGGGACTCAGGTTAGCCCTCACTTTCTGCTTTAGAAATAAAGCTCAATGAATAACAACCCTGGATACATTTTGCACACATACAAGTGTATCTACAGCAGTGACTTTCAGCCCCAACTGAACATAAGCACCACCCAGGAGGATTTACAGAAATCCCCATATGGCTGGGCGCAGTGGTGCACACCTGCACTCTGGGAGGCGGAGGCAGGCGGATCACTTGAGCCCAGGAGTTCCAGAGCAGCCTGTGCTGTCTCTACAAAAAATACAAAAAGTAGCCAGGCATGGTGGCATGTGCCTGTAGTCTCATCTACTCTCATGGCTGAGGTGGGAGGACTGCTTGCGCCTGGGAGGTCAAGGCTGCAGTGTGCTGAGACTGAGTCACTGCACTCCAGCCTGGGTGACAGGGTTTTCTGAGGCAGGCGAGACCTTGTCTTAAAAACAACCAACCAAACAACTCCATACCCAGGGCATGTCTCAGACCGATTATATCAGAGTGTCTGGTTGTGGGATCAGGCAATCCTGGTGATTCCCATGTCCAGCCAGAGCTGGGCACCACTGACCCTACAGGGTAAATGGATTGATCAAGGGCTCACAGACTTGTAAATTTGCTAGACATTACCAACTGGCCTCCGTGGAGGCTTTATGGGGGTTGTGTCAGTTTATACTTGCACCAGCAATGCACAGGATGGTGTGGTTCTTCATGGCCTCCCTAGCAAAGGATGCTTGTCAAAGATTTTTACTTTTGCCAACTTGCTAGTTCATTTCTTTCTTAAAAAGATATCTCGGTTTTGCTTTAATTTGTATTTCTCTTATTAGGAGTTGAAGTTAGCATCTTTTCACATGTTTAAGATCATGTAATCTGTCTGGTCGTGTTCTGTGCCTATTTTTGTTTTCATTTTCTTTTTCTAAGACTGACTTCTCTATGTGCTAGCAAGATGAATTCTCTGTTCCAGTTGCAAACACTTTTCACTGCTTTGACTATTTTTACACTTTCATGAGGTGGTATGGTATTTTTCCCCTAGATCACTTTTTATTTTATTATTTATTTATGTACTTTTGAGACAGAGTCTCACTCTATTGCCCAGGTTGGAGTGCAGTGGTGCAATCTTGGCTCACTGCAACCTCTGCCTCCTGGGTTCAAGTGATTCTCCTGCCTCAGCCTCCTGGTAGCTGGGATTACAGGCACCCACCACCATGCCTGGCTAATTCTGTATTTTTAGTGGAGATGGGGTTTCACCATGTTGGCCAGGCTGGTCTTGATCTCCTGGCTTCAGGTGATCCACCCACCTCGGACTCTCAAAGTGCTGGGATTACAGGTGTGAGCCACCATGCCCAGCCTGCTAGATCACTTTTTATATGTTCGAATGTATTCATCTTTTCAATGGTTTTGGATTTGGATTTGGGTAACATGGTTTATGGTTAGAAGGAAACTCTCCATATTTTCTTATGGCACTTTTGTGATTTTCTTTTTTTTTTTGAGACAGAGTCTCACTGTGTTGCCCAGGCTGGAGTGCAATGGCATGATCTCAGCTCACTGCAACCTCTGCCCCCCAGGTTCAAGCGATTCTCCTGCCTTAGTCTCCCAAGTAGCTGTGATTACTGGCACCCACAACTATGCCTGGCTAATTTTGTATTTTTAGTAGAGACGGGGTTTCACCATGTTGGCCAGGCTAGTCTAGAACTCCTGAGCTTGTGAGCTCCTCCCACCCCAGCCTCCCAAAGTGCTGGGATTACGGGCACGACCCACTGCGCCTGGCCTGATTTCCTTTGTGTTTAAATTTTTGATCCTTTTGGAATTTTCCCTGATCAATGGATCCGTTTTTGCTCATCTTTCCAGTGGCCCATTGTCCCGTTACCCTTGTTAAGGAGTTAGGGAGGAACTACTCTGTAGGGCATGAAATGAGAATTTATTTGTTTTTGTCTTGTTTATAGCAGCATCTGCCTCTACTCCTCTGAGACTGTGTTCCTGCCCACCCACCCATTCAACTAAGCATTGGTTGATTGATTCATTCATTCAATTTCTTGTTTTTTGTTTTTTTTTTCTTGCTGAGAATTCCAGTATTACTCGGACATTGTCCCTGACGTTTTGGGTTTTCATTTAGGATTTATTTTTATCACTTTAAAACAACAATAATGATATTTTATCGAATGTCTAGTGTATTTGTTACATGTATCATTTCAATTAAACTGAAAGTAGTGGTGTCCGTTACCTTATTTTTCCGATTTGAGGAAAGTAATTTCAGAGTGGTTTTAAGGCTTTCCAACGGCCCCCAGTTGGAAAGTGGCAGTGCTGAATGCAATTCAAGAGCCCAGTCTTCAGAACCCTGGCTTTTCACCTGCCTAGATGCTGTAACTGGTCTCTGCGGAGCGTCTGGATGGGGGAATGAATGAATGAATGAGTCAGTGAAGGAATGAGGAAGACAGAATGAGTCAGCTCCTGCTTTCAGAGAAGCCCGAAGGGAGAAGTTAAGATGGGAATCCAAATGACCAGAATCCAGAATAAACAGTGAGCCCACCAGCGTTTTGGAAGCAGTCCACTTTCTACCCCCCTCCTATTCAAAATACTTTATTCTTTCCAATTCCTCCCCACCTAGAATCCATGGAACCAAACGCTGGGGTAGGGACGGTGGCCAGCCTGTCTCCTTGGGTTTGATGCCTTACATCATCCACGTGGAGGTCCCTGGTGGAGCTTGGCAGCCCTACAGCATCAGGGGCAGGGGGGTGGGGAGAATGAGTAAGGGGGAGAGGGGGAGTAAGAGGAGGCAGCAGGGGACAGGGAGGGAGCAGATACCAGAAGGGTTAGTGGAGAAGAGGGAGGAGAAGCCGGGGAGAAGCAGGGGAGGGGTCAAGGAGGAGGAAAGAAGAGACCTTGGGGAGAAGGAAGTAGGGAGGACGACGAAGTTTTGGGCTGGGATAGGCAAGAGGGAGGAGGAGAAGACAGGAATAAGGGGGTAAGGGAGAAAGAGGGGAGGGAAGGGACGGAGGGAGGACAGATCAGGGAAGTGGGGGAAGCAAGGGGTGGGGGGAAGCAAGGGTGGGGGGAAGAAGAGGAAGGAGGAGGGAAAGGAGGAAGGCGGGGTGGGAAAAGGGGTTGGGGAAGTGGAAGTTGCCAGAGAGGGGTCGGGAGGGGAGGAGGGGAAGTGAGAAGGAGGAGGAGGGAGCAGAAGGATGTGGGTTGGGGGGGAGAGCTTAGGGATGTTGGGGGTAAGAGAGCGGGCGGGAGGAGAGAGAGGGAGGAGGCAAAGCCCCTACTCCGGCCCCCACCGCGGAGTTGCGCAAGCCTCCCGGGCTGGGATTGGCTGACGGAGAATCAAGACGCTCCGCCCCTGCAGCCCGGCTGCCAATGACGAGGCGGGTCGCGGCCTGGGAGGCCAATGGGCGCGGGGGGGGCGGGGCGGGCAGAGGCCTGGGGTCCCGGCGCGCGTTCCGTCCGCAGTGGGAGCCGCCGCCGCCGCGCTCGGAGCTCGCAGGCGCCGCGTCGCCGTCGCCACCGCCTCCCGCCCGTGCGCCCTCGGCGCGTCCCCGCCGCGCTCCCATCCCCGCCGCCGGCCAGGGGCGCGCTCGGCCGTCCCGGGCAGTGTCCCCGCTGCGGCCCCGCGGCGATGGCCACCAAGATCGACAAAGAGGCTTGCCGGGCGGCGTACAACCTGGTGCGCGACGACGGCTCGGCCGTCATCTGGTAGGAACTTCTCATTCCTCTCCGCGCCCCGCTCCCCGGGCTCGCGCGGGGTCTCGCGCGCCGAGCCGGCCTCCAGGCGGGACGGGTTCGGGACCTCCCGCGCTGTCTTCCTCGCCGGACTCCGGGACGGCGTGCCAGGCCCCCGCGGGCTCCTCCGTGGCCGGCGCGCCCGTTAGATCGTTCTCCGCGAGCGCCGCGCCGCGCGGCCACCAGCGCTAATGTGTGTGTGTGTGTGTGTTTTTTCTTCTCCCAACCCAAAGGGTGACTTTTAAATATGACGGCTCCACCATCGTCCCCGGCGAGCAGGGAGCGGAGTACCAGCACTTCATCCAGCAGTGCACAGGTAGGGGGGCGCGCCTGCAGGGCGGATGCGTGGTCGTGGGGAGGTTGTCTGCACCCGGGGAGCGGCGGCTAAGGCCAGCCCGGGAGGAACCGGTGGCCACGTGCGGTGACCCTAGCGCACAGCGTGGGAGGAGCCCGATGGGAGTGTTTTAAGGCCCCATAAAACCTTCTCTCCTCTGGACCCGAAGCAAGCGAAGTGACCCACCTGCCTCCGCCCTTCCACAATGCCCTCTCCAGGCCGGCGGCGTTTACCCGCTGTGGTTCACTGTTTTTCCAAGGTCAACTCGTGTGTTTCCATACTCCAGTGTCCAGCTCTTCCCACCATCCCCTTTGAGCCCAAATACGAACAGGCTAGGGGCTGGTTGGGAGGGAAAGAAACTCAGCCGCGCCCTCTTTTCTCCCGCTATCATTGTCTGCCCGTGTGCTGATTTGATGTGATTTTTAACTTGAGGAGTAGAGGCAGATGCAAAAGAGTACACATCGTATTATTCCATTTATAAGAAATCCTAGACAAGGTGAAGCTAATCTATGGTGTGAATGTCAGAATTGAGGTTAGCTTTTGGGGCAGATAGCCACTGATGGGGAGGGGCACACCACCGGGACTGCTGGGAGCCGGGAATGTCCCATATGTTGATCTGGGAGGGCATTACTCAGGTGTATATCCCCGTGAAAAATCAGCAGACTGTATACTTAAGATTTGTGTGCCTTAGGCACTTCGGTGTGGTGTGTGATCCATGAAAAGAAAGACCACGTGGCAGGCATCACCATCAACCCCCCGGTTTGCTGTGGGACCCTTTAAAGAGGTCTTTAGTTGGAAGCAAACTTTCTCAGACAAAGGCAGCACAGGTCGCAGCTTAAGGCGTGGACCCACAGCCAGACTTGTTTTCTTCTTTTTGAGATGGAGTCTTGCTCGGTTGCCCAGGCTGGAGTACAGTGGTACAATCTCAGCTGACTGCATCCTCCGTCTGCCAGGTTCAAGTGATTCTCCTGCCTCAGCCTCCAGAGTATCTGGGACTACAGGCGCCCACCACCATGCCCAGCAAATTTTTTGTAGTTTTAGTAGAGACAGGGCTTCACCCTGTTGGCCAGGCTGGTCTCAAACTTCTGACCTCAGGTGATCAGCCCGCCTTGGCCTCCCGAAGTGCTGGGATTGCAGGCATGAGCCACCCACCCAGCCAGCGGTGTGGGTTTGAATCCCTGAATGGCTACTTCCTGGACGTGTGGTTTGGAGCGAGTTTCTTTATCTCTGGGGGTTTTAGTTTCTTGACCTGCATTCTCACAGTGCTGTTGTGAGGACCAGTGAGTCAGTGTGTATAAAATGCTCAGAACAGTGTCTGGACAAGCTACATGATTGTTTGCGAAATAAATAAAAAATACAAAATTGGGCCAGGGATCATGTGGGTGTTTCTTTCCTTAACTGCTTCCATAATCAAATTATATTTTGTATTTAGTTAAATTTAAAGGGTATTTGTGGAGTGACTGCTAGAGGCTGGGTGATACCAAGAACACACGCGCACACACACACGCGCGCGCACACACACACAACTAAAATTTCTCCTTGAGTGCTGGCTCTAGACATTCATTCATTGCTTTTGTAAACAGTTGGCCTAAAATAGCAGCATGAAGCACTGTAACGACCTGGAGAGTTGGCAGGGCAGGATTTGAACCCAGGCCTCCGTCCCTCCACCTCTGTGGCTGAATGCTTTTGCAAGTGGAATAAGTGCAAACTCTTAACTTTCTCCCCTCCGGTGAGCGAACAGCCAGGAGATTCAGCAGTATTTCTACTTTGCCGGCTCTGAGGCTGTGCTTTGCCGGCCAGCTTCCTTCCCTGAATTCGGGTTCTCTCCTCCCAGTGTCCACCCGTTACTCCCCTCCCCCATCAAACCATGTTCTGTGTCTGAACCTCCTGTTCTCTCCAGCAAGTAGGTGATGAAGAAGAGAGCATCCCTCCCATCAGGAGACTCCTGGCAAGTACTGCCAGGCCTTGGTGCGGTGGGGGAACACCTCCTTCCCGAAGGCTTGTGGTTTTCTGCTCAGACCCACCCCCTGCCCTCCAGGGATGGGAGTGGGGAGTGGTGAACGTCTGGCGAGGAAGCTAAAAATGCTTCCCTGCTGCGTGCTGTGTGTGAATCCTCATGAATGGGCCTTGGGAGCTTCAGCTGAAGTCGGCTTTCTTTCCCTGCCATCTGTTGGACAAATGCATAGGGGAATTACGGTTGCTGTGTCTGCTCTTGTTCCTCTTGGAAAAGCTTGTTCCTTCCTGCTGTTGTGTCCTCATAACACGGGGACAGTGTTCTCAACACCAGCACTGACTGGATACCGGTCACCACGCTTGACATCCTTGTCTGGCATATGCCTCAGAACAGCCCCGTGTGGCCCGTACTGACTTTACTGCCGTTCTACGATGAGGAAACTGAGGCCCAGAGAAATTCATAGACTTCCCGAGTTTACCCAGCTAGAAAGTGGCAAAGCCAGGACTTGAACCCAGGCAGGCTAGCTCAGGGCCTGTGCTCCTGGCCTCTGAGGAAGTTGTTTAGATTCTCACCTCTTGTGGGATTGTCTGCAGGTTGCAAATGACCTTTGCCCACTTGTGATGCAGTGAGGGCTCTTTTGTGGCTCTGATTCCCTGCCAGGTATCCTGACAGGCCTGAGAAGAAAGGTTCCACTCTGGCTCAGGCTTCCTGCTTCCAAACATCTTACAAGATGGGCAGCAGACTTGGAAGGCCAGAAACAGCCACAGTTTCTTCCTTATACACTTGGGGTTCGGGCCTTCCCGGGGCCCTGCCCTCCTCCCAACACTGCCCGCTCTGGAACTCAGTCACACTCTCTGAAACATACCTTCCCTGGCCCTCCCACCCTAGTCTGCCTACTGTCCCTTCTCCCCTTCCTCCCCCAGGGCTTCCCAGAGTGGGATCTCTCCACCCAGCCTCCCTTCCTCATCTCTCCCCAGCCCCCTGGCCTGGCCTTTCCTCTCTTGGAGCTGTTTTTCAGAGGGCCGCTGGGTGTCTGTCTGCCAGGCCAGTGCCCCTGCACTCATCCTCCTGATCTGTCTGCTGCCAGGCCAGTGCCCCTGTACTCATCCTCCCGATCTGCCTGCTGCCAGGCCAGTGCCCCTGCACTCATCCTCCCGATGTGTCTGTGCTGCCAGGCCAGTGCCCCTGCACTCATCCTCCCGATGTGTCTGTGCTGCCAGGCCAGTGCCCCTGCACTCATCCTCCCGATCTGCCTACCTGCCAGGCCAGTGCCCCTGCACTCATCCTCCCGATCTGCCTGCCTGCCAGGCCAGTGCCCCTGCACTCATCCTCCCGATCTGCCTGCCTGCCAGGCCAGTGCCCCTGCACTCATCCTCCCGATCTGCCTGCCTGCCAGGCCAGTGCCCCTGCACTCATCTTCTCGATCTGCCTGCCTGCCAGGCCAGTGCCCCTGCACTCATCCTCCCGATCTGCCTGCTGCCAGGCCAGTGCCCCTGCACTCATCCTCCCGATGTGTCTGTGCTGCCAGGCCAGTGCCCCTGCACTCATCCTCCCGATCTGCCTGCCTGCCAGGCCAGTGCCCCTGCACTCATCCTCCCGATGTGTCTGTGCTGCCAGGCCAGTGCCCCTGCACTCATCCTCCCGATCTGCCTGCCTGCCAGGCCAGTGCCCCTGCACTCATCCTCCCGATGTGTCTGTGCTGCCAGGCCAGTGCCCCTGCACTCATCCTCCCGATCTGCCTGCCTGCCAGGCCAGTGCCCCTGCACTCATCCTCCCGATGTGTCTGTGCTGCCAGGCCAGTGCCCCTGCACTCATCCTCCCGATCTGCCTGCTGCCAGGCCAGTGCCCCTGCACTCATCCTCCCGATCTGTCTGTGCTGCCAGGCCAGTGCCCCTGCACTCATCCTCCCGATCTGCCTGCCTGCCAGGCCAGTGCCCCTGCACTCATCTTCTCGATCTGCCTGCCTGCCAGGCCAGTGCCCCTGCACTCATCCTCCCGATCTGCCTGCTGCCAGGCCAGTGCCCTGCACTCATCCTCCCGATCTGCCTGCTGCCAGGCCAGTGCCCTGCACTCATCCTCCCGATCTGCCTGCTGCCAGGCCAGTGCCCCTGCACTCATCCTCCCGATCTGCCTGCTGCCAGGCCAGTGTCCCTGCACTCATCCTCCCTATCTGCCTGCCTGCCAGTGGGACCCGGCACCTTCTGCTTCTTGTGGACCTGCCTGGCTCCCGGCCTTTGTCGCTGCCTGCCCCACCGCTGCCTCTGCCCCACCACCACCTCTGCCCTGCCACCGCCTCTGCCCCACCACCACCTCTGCTCCGCCACCACCTCTGCTCCGCCACCGCCTCTGCCCCACCACCGCCTATGCTGTTGCTTCTTGTTCCATAGTTCTGTTTGCCTGGGATGGTCAGAGACATTGCAAGGGCAGTGAGAGATGCCCAGTGCACATGAATGTAAGCAGAAAATCCTAAGCCTCCTAGGCTGGGAACTCCAGGGGAAGTCCCAGCAGCAGCAAAGGCTGCCCAGACTCCAAACAGCTCTCTTCCTTCTAGCTCTGTCTTTATCCTTCATCTCCATTCTTGCGGGGAGGGGAAGGTTTACCCCCCGGGTAGAGCCATTTTGGTGGCGAGACAGAGCAAGCCTCTTTGCCAGTGATTGGGGGGGGGGGTCCCTGAACTGACTGTCTTTGGCCCCCCTGAGGTCATGTGCCCATCCCCAGACCAATCACTGGGACTCTGGGTGGCCAGGCCTGGACCACATGCCCATCCCTGGAGTTGGGGAATGGGGCAGTCCCACCCAAAGCAGGAGACTGACTGGGGGAGGTGGCTTCCTAGGGAAGAATGGCATGCCACTTTCAGAAAAGGGTCCATTTGTCCCTTAACATCCCCACCTTCCTCTTTATAGCAGCAGTCTCTTTGCCCTTAATTTTCTTTGTCTGGTGTCCACTCTGTTCTCCCTTGCTGGGGTAAATCTTTATGCAGTACATTTCTAGTCAAGTCACTCCTCTCATTAACCTTCTATGGCTCCCT